CATGGCGGAGCTGAAGCAAAGTTTATGAACGACATATCCAAGACGGAAAAAAAGAAAAGTGTGTAACACATAGGAGAGAGAGAGAAAGAGGTTTAGATCTCGTGATCTTCCAATGGAAAGAATAACAAAATTCCAAACGTATGTAAGTAGAAATGCGTTTAACAACATATTTTTCCAATTCTCTGGGAAGTTAGGTGATAGCGAGCGCCAAGAGCATGACGTGCGAGAGTAAATATCTAGTAAAACTTCGCGAAAAGTTCGTCGAACGAGCGGCGCGAGAGCATAAATAGTGTTCGTGCTCATAAGAAAGAGAAAAAGAGCACGAAGTCGATATAGCGATCCGAGGTTATTTTTAATACCAAGACCAATCGGACGCTTTTGTACAAAAGTTAACATACGCGCACCAGAGAGAAAATAAAGAGAGAAAGAAAGAGCATAGTTGACTCGATGAAGTATGTAAAGCGCGAGCAAAGAAACGAAAAGAAAATCGCTCAGTATATATCCATACCTGTCCATGTATAACTTTCGACAGGTGGTAATAACGAATAGTGATTGAACGATGAGTAAATGTATGTATAACTGTCTATGCTCACCGTGCTCTTAGCGACCGCTGATGACGAACACACACGAATATAGATGTATCTGTAAAATCGGATTATTAACCGCTAATCGTATATGTATGTATATGTATGTATAACTGTATTATCTGTCGAACTTTAAACACGTCAACATCCGGACGCAGCGCGCATCTATTTCTGTCGTGCGATTAGCAATGACGATTCTGAGTGTTTAAAAGAGAGAAAGGGAGGGAGAGAAAGAAAGAGAGAGAAAGAGAGAGGAGAGAGAGAGAGAGTGTGTGTGCTATCCGTATAACAAAGATAAAATACCAAAATGCAGCCGTATATACACACAGTTTACTATTCTGAGAAGTTATATACTTTTTTTCGAGCCCTTGTATAATTACATTACATTTATCCTGTATCGTAACTTGTAGTCACACATGTATTAATATTGGTTTTTATATGTGCTTTCTGTACATACATCTCCATGCGTTCGGGACACACTGGATACACGCGCGAGCAACGCGGAGTTGCGTGCGGGAAAAATACACGAAAAAGAGTGGAAAGTAAAGGAAGAGGAGAAATGAGGAACAAGAAAAAAAGGATGGATGAAGGAGACGAAACGCGAGGAATGCGAGGAGGAGGGGAGGCGAGGGGGGGGGGGAGAGGGAATAAAAAGCGAAGCGTTTCTTTTCGACGTACGACCAGCTGTTATACAAGATGAACGGGCCTTAATATGTACCTGAGTCGCGGGTAAGGGTAAATTCACTTGAGAAATCTGTCACGCGACATCCACCATAGAGAGATAAACCAGATTAAAACACCTTATAATTGTCGCCGTCCTCGCGGAAGTCGCGGGACGCATGTGCACACGTACGCACGTTCGCCAGGACCGCGTCAAGGAACTTAAGGTATATCACGCTCGTGCCCTTTCATTTCGTATTCCGCGCGTGTATATTTTTACATCATATAAGAGAAAGGGGAGAAGTCTAACGCGAAACGCGAGGGAAACCGAGTAGGGGTTTCCGAGAGTCGTAACTATTACCGTAACGAACGCGGACGTAATTTAAATAACGCTCGTCCGCATACCGCCAATATCCCGCGCGGACGGGACGAAGACTTTACGAAGTAATTTTTACGTTTCTTCTCGTTTTTCTTTCAAACGATCGGAAATTCCGCATGAAGAAGAAAAAGAAGAAAAGAAAGAAAAAAACTATTCGGGGACGCGGTGCCCAGCGTGTGAGTGTGTTGTAAGTGAGCGAAAGAAAGAGAGAGAGTTTAAAGAAAGGTAGAGAGAAAGAGCGTAAAAGTATAAATGTGAGAGCAAGAGCCATGCGGCAAAATTGTGCGAGAGCGAGTTTAATAGCGTGCGAATAGAGGAAAGAGCGAAGAGAGAAATTAATCGAGAGCGCGAGGAGCGAGATGATAACGCGTTTGAATGTAATAACGGGATATCCGCGAATCGTAGCAAAACACAAATCAAGTGATATGATAGTACCATCTCTGCGAGTGTCCTCTGTAATAAAGTAATATCGTGTGTAGAAAGGCGGTCGTGCAGCCGCTCGACGCGGGCACAACGCAAACTAATGTAACCACGTGTCGCTATAAGACGTGATAACGACAAAACCATACAAGCATAAGACTGAACCTGCCGAAAGAGGTGTAACACAACAAAAGTCGAGCGGACTGCACGCCGCCGCCGCCGCCGCCGCGCGTTGCCGACACCATATTCATAAGAAAGGGCAGGACGGAAAGCACATCCGGTCGAAGAAAAAGAAAAAAGAAAAATTGTCGCGTTGTTCCGAGTTGAACCGCGGTAACCGTCTTTCGTCAATGTTTCACGGTGTTCTCCGCCGCGCTTTGGTCGCGGCTCTCCTTCCACATTGCTTTCCACCTCGGCCTGGTGTAAATCGCTTCGACGTTACGCGATCGAGCGAACGCGAATAATGTAATATTTATGAATATGCGCGTCGCGAAAGCGAAATAAAAAAAAAAAAATACAAACAAAGGGGATGGTGCACAAGCTAGCGTTTAGATCGGAATAAGCCCTGAGGGAGCTCACTCGACGGCGGTTCTCGTTTAGAAGCCGATTTATTATAAACTAAACCCTTAAAGCAGCCTGCCAAGAATCAAAATATTGTAAAATATCAAACGAAACGCTAGCCAGTACAGAATGCTAAGATCTATTTTTTAAGAAGCGAATGTATATTTTTGTACTAAGGCAGGCCTTAGCGTGTGATCGTGTCTTCTTGTGCATAAATGGCGAGACCAGAGCTGTGATTGTAACACGTGTTGGCTATACGAGACGGAAAAAGTGAGATCAACACGGGAGAAATGTATGTCGAAAAATATAATCGTGCATAGTAAACGTAAACAACAACAGGGAAACATGACACGAGAATCCCTGGTCGAATATTCACCGAGTGAGCTGTAGGCATAGGCAGGGCGTTATAAAATCGAGAAATAAAACATCTGTGATAAAGTAGAAAAATCTTACAAGCGTGTTCGAGGATGGATGATGAAGATCAGCGAGTGTCGGTAAAGAGAAAGGAAAAATCGGGAGAGAAGAGGAAAAAGGAAAAGAGAGCTGTGGACGATCGGAAATCCACGCACGGGCGTTGATGAAACTTGCGCGACCAGGCAAGATCAGCGATCTTTCGAGACTTAAAAAAAGGGGGGGGGCCAGGTGACCCGACGCTTCGAGGA